CCTTCATATGTCTGTCATCCATTGTTTCATTTATTTAATATTATATTTAATATCAAAATGTATTTTGTCTATCAGGGGTCACCCAAGGCAAAAAAAGTTCCTCCAGCACCAGTTTCAGGTAGCAGCCAACTATCAAAACACATAGGTTTTTAACATGAGATAAATCATATTTTTTTCCATTTTTCCTTTTTTTGTTTCCTTTTTTTTTCGTTTTTAATCCCTTACATTATATATTTCATATTTATTATTCATTTTAAATTTCTTTTATTTATTCTATTATTATTTGTGTTTTGTCATCCAACCTTAACTTCATGTCAAATGTCCATAGGATTTTGTTCTTTTTTTATTTTTTCCTTATTCTGTATCATKGTCATGRCACTCAACCACATATTYATATCAAATTCCGGCGATTTAAACYCACTAATCCTCKACGTGTTCGCTCAAGATCCGTTGCCCTTTTGAAACTCTTGTCACATTCCAAATAAAGCCMCCTGTGACGCACTTGCGTGACAATAACACTTGCGTGACCACAACACTTGTCGTGACAAGACTCGAGCGACCTCAGACACCCAAATCTCAGTGAAAACATTCTTCAAGTGAAAGGTTCTTCACTTTAGTTTAACCAAAAAACACCGCATGTTTTAATAAGACCGACTTGTGAATTTAAGCACCCAACACAAAGTCTGTTGACTTTGAAGGTCACCAAGAGAAACGAGCACCGCCCCCAGCTCCTTCAGAGGAAGAAAAGCGGCCAACACCAACGAGTGAGCCGCCKAAAAAAGACATGAAAAAAGCAGCCGAGCCGAAGAAATTACCACAGCCGAAGGATCATGAAACTGAGACGCCCAAGCCACATTTACCGCCGAAAAAGCCGGTTCCACCAAAGCCTTCCACTAAGCCATCTGTATTGCCGAAGAAGCCAGTTCCTAAACCCCCAGCAAAGCCCGTTCCACCAAAGCCGGGCCCGAAAGAAACAGAAATTAAAAACGACATYGGSAATAACAGGCTTAATAAAACAGCTCCAGGAATAATGGAAGGAATAGCCAAGGCAGCGAGCGCAAGCGAAGGTATTTATTGTGATATTGTAATTCTATTCCTTTGAAGTGTGTGTGTCTCCCAGCTGAGATAATTTGCAAGTGATTCTTGGTTTTAATTCTCAAACCAGAGATATAKTTCTTTGTCGTTGTCACGATTTTAAGATTTTATTCGTTTCACAAAAGAGCACTATTTTATTTCTTGTTCACTGTCGATTTGTAGTATTTACTGAGAATTGTCGAGTCCAACGCTTTCTAAAATTCCCTTTTTCTATTCTTATATTTAAGTGTTATTTAAAAAGAAAAGATCATTTTTCAAAAAAGAAGCTTGGCTTATATTTTTACTGAATTGAGCATTGAATTCCTTGTTTGTTGAYATAAATTGTCTCATTCGTTTTCAAATTCAACTGCTCAAAGTACATTTTCGATTCTAATACTTTMTTTTAATCGATTCAACTCCTTTTCAAAAATAATTACCCATCAAATCTTTGACACGGAAAATTTTCATGTAATTTCGTTCCAAAATTTCATTCGCTCAATGTCTATTTCATTTTTTAATTGTATGAATATTTTTGCATCGTTTTCCTTGTTATTAGCGGGCGTCGGCAATAGCGATTYAGAGACATTATGGCTAGCAAAGAGTGGATATTTCGTTGTATCGTGTGGCTTTTTCATTCTATAATTCCTCTTCCCAAAATAATATAAATATTCCTAACTTTCTCATATTCTCGCTAATTAACAGTTCTCGATAGAGATGTGGTAAGTTGATATGTCAATAAAAGGTCGAAATTTGAATTTAAAAAAAATCTGAAATTTATAATAAATGTATGTCATAATTTACACAATGTCAAAGTGTGCACTCTCGGGTTTTTATAACACACACACAAATCGACAAAATCGCTCCGTCCCTACCCCTCTAAGTAAATTTCTAGCTTGATTTTGTTTTGATTGTAGGCAATACAAAAAAGTGATAAAGTTCATACAATATTAAACGCAATTCTAAATTGTGAAATATCATTACTTACCGTGATAAGAATGATACACAGTTCAAAGTTTAATATTTTTGACCTTCCCTACCCCCCTGAGCAATTTTGTTTACTTCCGCGGCAGGTTGATTCAAAGCTTCAACGGAAATGTTGTAAAGTTTTCCTTAAATTGTTATTAATCCTTTTGATATTATTCCGGATTAGTCTTGATGAKCCTATGTTATTTTAAGTCGAAGAGTGGGATCAAAGTTGGGGAATAAAAGCTAATCAGAGGGATAATTAATGCAGGGATTCTCAAAGATTATTTTAGGCCTATTAAAAGAAAAATGGCGCAGAAAAATAGCCATTTCCCAAGATGTTGATTGGCTTTTGCTAGGTCACAACGCTTTCTCGTGTTCATAATTTCAATTAGATGTCGAAAATCGCTGTGCAAGCAAAAACGTTACACTTTGATAATCATATTTTGGTTGCAAGGTGTTTACTACAAACTTAGCATATTTTCAGTTAGATTCTTTTTCTGTCGAATGCTATTTAAGCACTGSATCCACAGTCTTCATAACGATTTAACTTTTGGTATTGTATGAAAAGTTCTCTTGATTCCTTCGACGATGATTCCTGAATAGGCATGACAAAGTCCAATACAACTTCGATTTTTTGCTTGTTCAACAGTTTTCTTCATCCATTTTTAACACGAGAAAATGTTGTGACCTAGCCAAAGTCGCTTTGATACTGCAAAACCAACATCTTGGGAAAGGACCATTATATTCAGTTTTAAAATTTTAAGTTATCTTTAATGTTTGGYCATCGTGTTATAATCAAATTCAGTTGACTTATTTGAAGATAAATCTTTATCGTCGGCAAGTACAGTATACATGTACTCCAGACGCATGACAGGAGACGACGCCTCAAGTCGGCGATTCCCACTAGCGATTGCAGTGCAGTTGGAAAATAATCGGCTGTTCCCTTCATTAACTTTCTTAATATTTGGATTATTGTCTTGATCAATTTTGAACTAACCCACACTGGTTTCCGTAGCGTTTTTGTGAGTCTTGTTTTTCATTCCCTTAAGGACGGAGAATAGTACAAAAGCGCTGCGAAAACGTGTCAATATGGACGATGCGTAACGTTTACGTGGCGTTTTGTCTTGTTTTTCATTCCCTTGAGGATGGAGAACGGAAAAAAGCGCTGCGAAAACATATTGCGGACGTTTTCGTAGCGCTTTATTTATATATTTTTTATGTGTCATTTCGCATCCGTGTTTTTGCTTACGTTGGGAATTTTCCGCATGAAATTGCGGATCTCTTACGTACCATAATGCCTTCTACGTATTCCATCCAGTGTTGCGTTTTAACTTGTTGCTGCTGTTTCTTTTCTAGAGTGTAATTTAGACGCCGTTGAAAAGCATGAGATGCTGGATCATCTCACTAAAAATAGAGCAAGATTACAAAACAAACGTCCTCCCTCAACCACTAGAATATCGGTGAGTTTACGTTAATTACTGTTTACGTTACTGAGTTTACGTTAATTACTGTTTACGTTACTGAGTTTACGTTAATTACTGTTTACGTTACTGAGTTTACGTTAATTACTGCAATTTACGTAAGTGGTAATTGATTGTGACATGGGGTGTGTTTTAACTTTCTTACAGCAGGAAGGCAACCTTTTCGATATAAATACGAGAGAAGAACCCGAAGGAGAGGTATGCATTTGTAAAATATATTTGGAATATGAGCAAAAAAGATCATAATTTCT